GGGCGGGTGGGTGCTCTCCCCCCGCTGCCATTCCTGGCTTGGGGCTCTGCGGCCTCTGCGGCCTCTGTGGCCAGCCTTCACTTGTTCACTTGGTACAGCGCGTCTGTGTTCCGGGTTGGGGCCGTCCTCGGCAGGCCCTGGGTTACTGAGCCGAGCAGGACGGACATGGGCCGGACAGGGACGGCACTTACATTTAGTCCAGCGAGGGGCACGGAAGGTTAGCCACGTACTCACACAAGTAACAGTGACCCCACTGCTGTGATAAGGGCCCTAACGGCAAAGGACTCAGGTGGGTCGGGCGGGAAGATGACATTTCAGCAGGGCTCTAAGCCTGAGAAATACATAGAAGCTGGTGATTCGCGTGGGGTACGAGACAGGGTGTCAGCCCTTGCTGCCTGGCTGCATCGCTGTCCATCAGCCCTCTCAGCCTCCTTCCTGGAAAGGTGCTTCCTGCCATTGCCAGTTTCACGTCTTAGCTCAAACACAGAAGAGAGAATTTCCCCGGGACGCCTTCTGGGAACTCCAAGGCAGATGCGAGGAAAGCGCCTCTTTCTGCATCTCTGTCTCTGTAGTGACTGCCAGCAACCTGAGCAGGGACTGCTGGCCTGCGCGGTGAGGTGTCTAGACCAGGCTGTCGGGCCGGTGGGGACGAGGGTCCTGTTAACAGACCAGGGTGGGGTGCTCAGTACCAGGGTCTCCCCAGAGATCGTAGCACGCGTGTGTGAAAGAGCTTTTACACCAAGACGATCTTGTGCCATTTCCACAAACTCTGAAGTCCCCTAGCTTACAATCTCGCAAATACTAGAATCTCCCGGGAAGGAGGCCAGCTCTGAAAAGTGGGGTATCTGCGTGATTTGGGTCCCACTCACCTTGCTAGCCCGCTGTCCCACTGCACTGTCCCGGTGACCGTCCAGGGCGATGCTTACCTGGTCTCGCAGCGGAAGGCACCGAGTGTGGGCCCTGGAGCCCTGGCCCTCTTCCCACCGGGCCATCTCGCTTGTCACGTTTGCTGAGTAATGAGCTCATCGTTCTTAGTGCGCCTCCTTCAGGACAGTCCGAGGGTGCTTGGAAATGCCCGGTCCTCGAACGCTGTGCTCGCCACTTCTCTGGCATCCCCACCCACGTGCACAGCCACTCTTAACCAACGCAGCATCTTACTGGGTTGCTGGGGAACGCACGGGAGCCGCAGGTCCGACTCGCTTCCTATTGAGCCGCGCGTGTTCACGCTTGTTTAGTTACAGCACGGCGGGCCTGGATGGAGGTCACTGTAGGTTAAGGCCCTATGCTGGCCAGTGCAAGCCGGCCGTGAAATCAGAGTGGGCTGCATTCATGGGTCTCTAACACGATCGCGGTACCTGGCAGCCTTTTTGCTTAGCAGTGGACAAGAGCAGAGGATGAGTTTGAAGGCAAAGGCTGGCTTCCTGTTGTATCACAGTTCTCTCTCATTGCACAAAGTGTTATGAGTGGCGAGGTTTGGGATGGTAATCTCAGTCTCTGGTTTCAGGGCTTGATTTTGTCCTTTGCTTTCCTATCTTAGGAGTATTTGCTAATCTCCTGAAGGAAAGTGCTTTTTCAAATACACGGAAATAATGTCATTTGCAAAGGATATTTAATAAAATTGCAGTTTGGGAAAGGCTGAAGTTTTAAGGAGGAAATGGAACCTGCCTGAATGCTCCCCGGATGACGGGCCTGGCGTTGGCTGGGGAGGCCTTGCTGGTGCGTGGTTACATGCAGACAGTCGGAGGTCACCCTGGTGTCCTGCTCCTTACTCAGGTGGCCAGTACTGACCGCAGTCGGTTGTTCTTTTTTAAGAGAGATTTTTGCTATAGGGTGCGTGTGGTAGCCAGAGAGAGAGACAGAGAGACAGAGAGTGAGAAGTCACCCCCCCTCCCCCGGGGGGAATGGCCATGCCACAGTCACTTCTCCGTTCTCCTCTCAGGATTTTGGGCACATATGCACACGTGCCCAGCACGAGTTTAAGCCCCTGGGTCCGGGACTCGAACTGCAGTTGACTACATGGGAGTCCAGTGAAGTAACCATTACGTCATCTGCTGGTCCCTCAGCCTGTCTTTTGACTGGTTACTTGCCTCTCACTTTGTTTCTCAACTTAAAAAGCAGTTTCTACACGTTTCAAAAAGTTGTAAACAGTTTTTAAAATAATGTTTATCAGGCGAGTCTTTGGTGGTGCTAAGAAATTTCCTCCAATTAATTGGGTGCCAGGGCCGAGTTTGCATGACTTACCTAAATGGGCGGAACAGCAGAAATGTCAGGGTAGATCCATGTTAATGCCTCTGCTTCCCTGGGAATGAGAACGGCCGAGGTAAAAGGAAGCCATGGCATGTTACAGGAAAAGCACAGGGCCCTGGCCCAGAGTCCGTCCCAGGCCCAGGACTGGAGCAAAACAGGCCTTCACCCTCTTGGGCCCTGCTTTCCCCATGAGATTAGGTCACCTCAGAAGTAGCAGCACTGAGAGTGTTGGGACGCTGTGGCTTCTGCGGCTCTCTATTGTTGGCTTGTCACATATGTTAAGTCTCACTGGACACAGCCGACTGCGGACGTTTGTCCAGGTCTGTATCTCTGTAAGACATGAATCTAGTAGTAAGATTGTTTCCGTGATAGAAAGTGTGTGTGCTGAGAGGGGAGTGGAGGGAAGGAGGGGGAAGGGTCTGGGCATGCCGCACCCCCCTTCCCGACCTCCAGCCCCTCAGGATCTGGGGCACAGGTTCTGCGCCTGGTGTGTCCTGGTGTCTGGCTCCCCGGCTCCCCTGGCTGGAACCTCGCTGCAGTTGGAGTGTGGCTCCAGCACGGCAGTCGGACCGGCAGCTGGCCGTGCCGCAGGGCCCGCGGGGAGTAAGGACCACGTGGAGGTCTTATCTGAAGGCTCCTGCTTTATCACGGCCCACCTGCTCTCCGGGAAGGGAAGTGGCGTGCCGCAGCGGGAGGGCCCCTCGCACAGCCCCTCCTGCCTTGGGAAGGGAGGCGCGGGGCGGTGCCCTGGGAGCCCACCTCTCCCGTCCCCGCATTCTTTGCTGGCCGTTTTAAACAGCGCTTCACCCTGATTCTGTCAGGACAGCTCGGCAGTTGCAGTAGGTTTAGGTGATGTCAGTGCAGCTCCGAGGGCAGGCGGTTTGGACTCAGTTTTTAAATACCCATAACCTCCAACTTACTTGTCCCTTTGGCAACAGTGTGTAACTGGGTTGGTTTTGTTTATTCTGGAGTAACTTCTACACACCAGCTTTTGTTTAAGTCACTATTTATTATGGGAGCACTTCGTGCCAGGGCTGTCACCACACTAATTTGTTTTGGTTTTTAACCGTACTAAGAGTTAAGTCCCGCCTACTCTCAGGCAGAAGAAGTGACAGCTCAGCATTTCCCTCCCCCATCCAGAGGCAGGTTCTGCATAGGATGAGCGTCCCGTCTGGGGGTGCTGGTCCCGGCTTCGCGGCTCGGGCATGAACTCCGTCCCAGCCCCGAGCCCTGCTCTGCGGCCGTTAGTGACTGCCCAGCGCCTGGCCGGGTCCTGGGCCGGAGCCTGTTTTAGCTGGAGGAAGGAACGATGGCTGAGACCAGCACTTCAGGGCTTGGCCTGGACTGGCCACCTGAGCGCTGCTGCCGAGCCAGGACAGGTGTCTGCCACACGCCTCGTCCCCACGTGGCCTCCAGCCTGTTGAAATTGACTCTGAGAACTCGGCGCTGCCCGAGCAGACGCGCTCCCTCGGAGGTACCTTAGCCATGGGAAGGGGCAGTTGCCTGGCAGGACGGTGCAGTGCTGAGTGACTGACGGTCGCCGGTTCACCTGTCCTTCCCAGCTGCACTCCATTCGAACCACGGACAGATGGCCCAGGGCAAGCCCATGGCAAAGTCGCGCCGCCCACTGCCCCGGGCGACTGCTGGACTCACCACACCGTAGGTCGCCCGCTCGCGCTTTCTCCGTCCTGACTTACAGTTCCCGCTGCTTGTTCCCAGGAGGAGCGTGCTCACCTGGAAAGGTGGCGATGGCGTACTTGGTGGAGACGCAGCAGCAGAGCCGCTTGCCCCCAGGGTGCGTCCCTGCAGTGGGCCGTCCTGGGCCCGCCCTGCTCTGTCTCGTTTCCGGAAGGTTTAGCACTAAGATCAGGTTGGAGTCTGCAGTGAGTGTCGGCTCCTCCACCTAAGGGCTTTCCCTGTAGGTATCGTTTGCTGCGAGTGAGTAGAGTTTTCATTTTTGCTGTTGTTAAGTATTGCCAGGTAACCCCCACATGTAAGAGGCTCAGGTGCAGTTTTACTGCAGCTTCGCACAACCTCACCTCTGGTTGTCTGTAGTGCATGGGCAGGATCAGCCTGGTCTTTTAAAAAGTGGGTCATGTGTTGGGGAGGTCTGTGCTCTGGGGAGGCGGTGGTCTGATCCGGGGTCTGTGCTCTGGGGTGTCGGTGGTCTGATCCGGGGTCTGTGCTCTGGGGTGTCGGTGGTCTGATCCGGGGTCTGTGCTCTGGGGTGTCGGTGGTCTGATCCGGGGTCTGTGCTCTGGGGTGTCAATGGTCTGATCCGGGGTCTGCAACGTTCCAAACTGAATGTGGATGCCTGATTCCCACACGGCCCTTTGCCTGGCCGGGTCCTGGGCCGGAGCCTGTTTTAGCTGGAGGAAGGAACGATGGCTGAGACCAGCACTTCAGGGCTTGGCCTGGACTGGCCACCTGAGCGCTGCTGCCGAGCCAGGACAGGTGTCTGCCACACGCCTCGTCCCCACGTGGCCTCCAGCCTGTTGAAATTGACTCTGAGAACTCGGCGCTGCCCGAGCAGACGCGCTCCCTCGGAGGTACCTTAGCCATGGGAAGGGGCAGTTGCCTGGCAGGACGGTGCAGTGCTGAGTGACTGACGGTCGCCGGTTCACCTGTCCTTCCCAGCTGCACTCCATTCGAACCACGGACAGATGGCCCAGGGCAAGCCCATGGCAAAGTCGCGCCGCCCACTGCCCCGGGCGACTGCTGGACTCACCACACCGTAGGTCGCCCGCTCGCGCTTTCTCCGTCCTGACTTACAGTTCCCGCTGCTTGTTCCCAGGAGGAGCGTGCTCACCTGGAAAGGTGGCGATGGCGTACTTGGTGGAGACGCAGCAGCAGAGCCGCTTGCCCCCAGGGTGCGTCCCTGCAGTGGGCCGTCCTGGGCCCGCCCTGCTCTGTCTCGTTTCCGGAAGGTTTAGCACTAAGATCAGGTTGGAGTCTGCAGTGAGTGTCGGCTCCTCCACCTAAGGGCTTTCCCTGTAGGTATCGTTTGCTGCGAGTGAGTAGAGTTTTCATTTTTGCTGTTGTTAAGTATTGCCAGGTAACCCCCACATGTAAGAGGCTCAGGTGCAGTTTTACTGCAGCTTCGCACAACCTCACCTCTGGTTGTCTGTAGTGCATGGGCAGGATCAGCCTGGTCTTTTAAAAAGTGGGTCATGTGTTGGGGAGGTCTGTGCTCTGGGGAGGCGGTGGTCTGATCCGGGGTCTGTGCTCTGGGGTGTCGGTGGTCTGATCCGGGGTCTGTGCTCTGGGGTGTCGGTGGTCTGATCCGGGGTCTGTGCTCTGGGGTGTCGGTGGTCTGATCCGGGGTCTGTGCTCTGGGGTGTCGGTGGTCTGATCCGGGGTCTGTGCTCTGGGGTGTCGGTGGTCTGATCCGGGGTCTGTGCTCTGGGGTGTCGGTGGTCTGATCCGGGGTCTGTGCTCTGGGGTGTCGGTGGTCTGATCCGGGGTCTGTGCTCTGGGGTGTCGGTGGTCTGATCCGGGGTCTGTGCTCTGGGGTGTCGGTGGTCTGATCCGGGGTCTGTGCTCTGGGGTGTCGGTGGTCTGATCCGGGGTCTGTGCTCTGGGGTGTCGGTGGTCTGATCCGGGGTCTGTGCTCTGGGGTGTCAATGGTCTGATCCGGGGTCTGCAACGTTCCAAACTGAATGTGGATGCCTGATTCGCACACGGCCCTTTTCATCCAGCCCCTGTCCTGACATGGGCTCCAGGCAGGGTCTCTGCCCAGCACACTGCTTTGTCCCTGCCTCTCCTAGGAGGGATGACACTGAGTGTGCCCCACTGGTACAGACCCCAGCGGTGGTGACAGCGGCGAGGGGCTGTGCGTGTCTTGGGAGCAGTGAGTTGCACGCTGACGGCAGGTCTGACCGAGCTGGTTCTACGGCTGTTTTCACCAGCTTGCACCACGAGCGAAGGGCCACCCACGCTTCCTTCCTCTGCCCCGGCCACACCCGCGGCTGCAGTTGCGGGCACCTCGGCGTACTCTTGCAACACCCAGCTCGCTCTCAGGCGCCAGCTTCAGCTCCTCCGCGCTCGGCCGTTGGCCTGTTTGTCGGGACGGCGTAGGTGGGGGCATGTGCCAGCAGGTGCTAGGCGAGAAGGCTGCTTTCGGGGCCCAGCTGAGTGCCGTGTGCTGTTTACGAAGATGCTGTCTCAGCCATGCTGTCGTGAAAAACCCTGATGAAAAGAACTCAGTGCATGGGGAAGGGCCACCATCTAAAGTTAAGGAGAGATCCTTATCAGACTTCTCTTAGTGTTGGTGGAAGCGTGAACGGGCGCAGGCCTGAGGGCTCAGGCGATCTTTATTTTACTTGTTCTTTTCTGTTTTCCAAATGTTCTAAAGCGAATTTGAACTGCTTTATCAACTTGCTTTTTCAAAGGAGAATATTCTAAAAACAGTTAGAAACCTCACTCCCTGACAGGCCTTCCTCTCTTGTCTGTAATTCCACTTTATATGTAAAAACAAGTGTGTTTAGGCATCTGTTGCATATAGGAAATAATTTGGGAAACTCTGTACCCCATGTTCACTCCTTCCCCGAGTGTGCGTGAGTCCCTGTCCAGGGGCTGAGCATGGCTGTTAGGCCCCAGTTGTCCGTGTGGGATTTCAGCGTACAGGGAAGGCCGCCTGGCCTCCCTAGGCAGGGCTCCCTCACCCAGACCCAGGCTTGCATGCACCTGCTCTGTGTATGGCCTTCCGTTCTGTCACATGTCAGGCTCTGACCTGCTTGGTACCGGCCCATCTGAGGGGATGGTGTTGTGGCAGTAGTGGGTGTTCACGAGCTGGGGGTCTCCTGCAGATGGGGTGGCTTCGGCTGCCAGGCTGAGCAGGAGTGGGGCCAGTGAAGGCCGCCTCTTGGGCAAGCCGAGCCTCATCGGCCCAACCTCCCGGGCTTGATGCATGACTACAGTGAGATGCCGTTTGGGCCTGGTGCCCAGGAGGTGTTTACACACGCACGTCACTCGTTCATTCTTCCTCCTTCCACTGGAGTATGGTTTCTGACCTTCCTACCTGGAAAATACACCCATCACTCGGAAATTCCCGTTTCTGCACATCGGTAAAGGAGCCTGGCTCGCAGAGGGGACTGGGCCAGCACAGCCTGACCTGGCTATTTCTGTGCATTTGTCCGATCCAGCCTTAGGATGTACAGTGGGGCTTTAAGCAAAGTGAAAACAGAGAGAATTGAACTGAATCTTCCTCTCTGTTTTCCTGTAGGAGGAAGAGGCAACCAGCAAAGCGCGACGCTGACAGGCCTGTTGGGTGCCGGTTTGCCGGGTACGTCGGAGCCTGCCCGGGACGGTGCGGACTCGCCTGCACGTGCCAGGTGCTGCGGCCTTCTCGGCACTGAGGTCCAGAGTGACTGCTGGGTACTGTGAGACCTCAGAGATCAGAGAATGGTGTCTGCTCTCCTACTTTCCCTCGGCACACTTGCCAGGAGGATTAGACGGGACTGGTGTCAAAAGCCGCTCCCTGCAAGGATGTTCCCGCCCAGACCTCAGTTAGCCTCATGTTCTGTTACACCCACAGTTTGATTGTGGTCTCGTAGACTCGGAGAAAGGGGTTCTGGTACAGAAGGCAAATTCTTCGCTAGTGTGAAGGGTGGTTCCAGCTCGGGGGCCAGGGGTCGGGTACCATGTTGTCACGACGGGGCCTGCTAGGCTCCTTCCTCCAAGGCTGCTGATAGGCTCAGCAGTCTCAGGTGTCCTTCTGCTGTCACAGGCCTGGAAAGAGAAGTGTCAGGGGTTCTGAGACCCTAAAAAAGGTTTTTTTTTTTTCTTTTTTCTATTTAATATATTTTTGTAATAAACCATTTTAATTAAAAAAAAAAAAAGAAAACCTCAGATTGATTTATAAAATACAGGCCACATGCCACGTCCCAGGAACACGTCTAAGCGAGTGATAGGCGGGAGGAACAAGCGTCCTGTACCTGGGCTGGAGGTCTGTGCTGAAAGCTGCAGTGGCACCTGCCGCTCCTGTGGGCGG